ATTATTATTTTTCACAAAGTCCTAGTGGATCAAAGATATAAATTAGTGAATTGTAAATATTTTAAGACTATCCAGAATAAACAGAGATTAGACTTAGAACAGATTAAGGCAGAACTATTTCCTAAAATATTTTTCATATTATTGGATTGCTGAAGACCAAATTATAATACTTGCAATAAAAGGTCTCTCCTGATGTTTATTATTGCCAGCTATCTACTGGTAAAGAAGAAATTGTCATCTTAAGTTTTTTGACAGTGACTGACAACTTTTAATAGAAACATCTGGTTGCTTCCCCCTATTGCATTTAAAGTGGAATTCCAAAGTTCAGTACTTTTTGATGATCTATCCCTTTTAAAATCTAGACAATTTCCATACTTTTAGAATATGAGGGGGTACTGAAAAGTTATGAAAAATTCTCAGCTTGACCAAAAAGCCTTTCCCCTCCAAAAATTTAATACATGATCAGATTTTGGAAAGTGTCTTGCTTTTCATCACTTCTTAATTGTAGTGATTGCATTGTTATTTCTCTCCTTTATTTTTATATTAATTTAAGTAATAATAAGCATTTCTTTTTAAACATCAAATATATGTGAAATAAATGTGTTGTTTATTTATACCACTTGTCTGTGAAAACTTTGTAAAATTGTAAATTTTACTTGATACATGTCATAGATAAAAGGTAATGAATTTTTGCCAAAGCTGAGAATGATTCATCATTTCTGCACATATATTTTTCTTTGCAGACTGGTTTCTTTTTTATTACTAAAATAAAAGAATAAAATAATCTGATTTTGACATTGAAAATATATTACAGTTAATAGAAATAAGTTATCTTTTTTAATTTAAGAAATTGGTTGGTATGCTATTAAATATAAAAAAAATCTATTAACAAAACAATATTTTCTTTTTTAAATGTTTATTCAAATGTAATAATAAAATAACTTGAAAAAAAACTAACAATTTATTCAGAAATCATGAAGACTTCTCAGGTATTGTGAAAAGTCATTGCATTATGGTTGTAACATGCATCTGCAGATAAATTACAGAATTTTTTCTCTGGCAATTCCTTAAATTGTCTTTAAAATTTCCTGCCATATATTAAATACAATTAAGAGTTACTTAGAGAAAATAATTGTTTAAAATTGGGAATTGTAAAACATTTTCTTATATTATTGAAAAATAAGGTTGAAAGAATCTTTGCTGAATATTTACTGTTGTCTGTGGGAAGAGTTTTCATTTGTTCTCCCCCACCCTTCTTTCTTTGTGGTAAGCAGCAAGTAAATAAATATAATTACCATCAAGGCAGAGAATAGGAGCATGAAAGCTAAGCTTGATTGGCTGTTCTTGTTACTTCTGATCTATACTTTTGTAATTCTTCTATTTAGTATATATGTTATGTAGGGACATAATGATCAGTCTGTAGCTCACACCACTGTTATAAGTGAGATAAATGCCTGCAGATAGACCGCACCTGTAATTATATTCTCTTTTCAGGCTGCCAGGTTTCTGGGTTTTCAGTATACTGAACTGCTATGTGTTCATCTGAAAATTACATAGAAAAACTCTTCTTGATAATGAAGAAAACAACACCAGATTATAAGATTATCCAAGTTCATCTCATATATTCATTTGGCATTCTTAATAAGTAAGCAACAACTGTTAAAAACTATTCTCTTAGGTCCTGCATATTTGACTAGAGGCATATCATAGGGGAGAAAAAATCTCAGGTTGAGGTAGGAGGTCATTTGCACAAAAGATACCAATTGTCTACAGGTAGATGACAAAATTGTTTTACTGTTTGTCCAAAATCTGTAGATTTTGTAAATCTATTGAGTTACTTAACTAAGCCCTCAGAAAAAATTATATAAACTTAACTATACTCATCTTTATCCACATATTTATATTTTTATCTCACAGATAATAAACTATTTTCATATCTCTAAACATAGAGTGAATATAAGAATTTAACTAGAATATTATAATTTGTATAAAATGAATAAAAGTTGAATGCTGGTTATAGTGTAAATTTTATTATTGTCATGAAGAATTCCAAAAAGCATAATTTATATGTTCTCTTGATACATGTATTATATTTAATTTTATGCATTTTCTTTAGTAATTTTGTTAAAAAATATTAATGTATAAATATTTGCAAAGCCAGTTTTATATTTTACAGGACATTCTTTAAAAAATTTTTTTCTTTGTTTAAAATTCTTTTGATTTTTTTTTTTTGAATTTGTTTTTTATGCCAGAATGTGTTTTCATTTTCAGTTAATCCACAACCAAGTAAAGAGTGAAACAAATTTGTGTAATTTATGATTTTCAGATTTTATATTTGTAAAATTTGGAAATTGTGTTGATTTTCTTTTAGATTTTGGTTACAAAGTAAATTTGGAATAAAAATATTAGGCTAATAGGAATCTGTTCAATAAATTTAATAGTTGTTTCAGTTATCTACAAGGTGCTTCATTTTTATACTAATTTTACAATTGCTATGTAAAGGAAAAAGCACAGTATTCAGTTATAATACAGTTCATATTAATCTACTTTGGTATTATATGTATGTCTTCAATTGTAAATCCACTGAAGGTATTGTAAACTTTTTAATTTTTAATATCTTGAACTTGAAAACCTTTTAACTCTTGTGGTTAAGAAGTTTGAGTTTGTTTTTTTTGTTTTTCTCAGAGCACTAGATGAAGAATCAACAAAATCAAACATATTGTGTTAAAATAGCAAACATATAAAGAGATCTTAGCATCCAAATAATGCTGGTTATGTTAATGACTTTTCTTAAAGCTATGGGAATACCTGTTCATTACTACTACATAAATGTTTTTATAAACTCTGACTTCTCTTCTTTAATTTTTTGTTTTTCATTGATTACTTATATCTATATTGTTCAAATTTTTTTTCAAGCATTGCAATATACTCAGTACTTTCTATTCTTGCCATTACCCCTTTTTATTTACTATTCTTACATTCTTTGAAAATTTCATTTTTAACTACTTTTAAGATCTTCATGCATTGTGTTATAAATAAATTTAAATGTAGTTGTAAAACTGGACTTATATATATTAACATATTAGATCATTTCTTGTTATCATGTGAACACTTGAAATATGTTTTAGTTGCATTAAAATATACTGGTGAATCAGACTAAATATTCTTACTACGTTTTATAGGTCCAATAAATTTTTTAGTTCTTATGTGTTTTTATTTAATGATTAATAATGTATCTACACTTTAGGAGAAATAATTTCAGGGAAAAGTATGATGAAGTGGAAACATTTCATCCTTCATTGGAAAAATACTATATAAAAAATGATGCTAAGGAAGCAAATATATTGGTAAAGACGTTAGGAGACTACTCTATTCACTAGATGCCACATATAAAGAATAGACCAGAAGAAACATTTTGTTCAAAATACGACAATTCTAATTCCCATTGTCTGTGGAATTATGACAATACTTTATTGCAGAACTTTAGACAATTATTGTTCAAAATATTTTTCATGTTAAAAGTCCAAATGAAAAATTCATTATTTGATGAACCAAATGGATAAAATAGTTTTTTTTTTTTTTTTTTTTTCCAGAATGTTTTATAATACTAAAAAAAAAACTTTTGCTACTTTGAATATTTATGGTATAAAAATTATCAAGGAATTCTTTTGGAAAATAAGAGTAATTACCAAATCTTTACCAATTATTTTTTATGGAGTCAGTATATTTCCACACCTGCTTATATTATTTCTCAAAGTAAAAACTTTGAGAAATAATTTCTAGTTTCACCAAAATTGAGACATTGTGTGTAATACATTTCTGAATCAGTATCTGTCTATATTTCTGATATGAGGTATTATGTACATTATTTACATTATTCAGACTATTGTCCTCATCTTTGTCGCCATATTTATTACAATGTTTCGACCATTGTGCGCTCTGGCCTTCTTCAGGTGGTTGGAATGCCGAACTGAACCCTTTATTTTGCTCACAGGAGTAGATTGTTCTAGTTTCACGTGCCATGTTTAATGGATATCAATACCTGGCTAAGGCAGTGGAGAACTTTCAGAGGGAAATAATCAGGAGATAACTGATAATGGCTGAAACGTTGTAATAAATATGACGACAAAGATGAGGACAATAGTCCGAATAATGTAAATAATGTACATTTCTGATTATTATAAACTTTTCATAACCCCTTCCTTAATTAGATCATTTTGATTTATCGGCCACAGAATGATGCAAATATCATAATGCTGATTCTCCTTCTTCAAATAAAATCAAGGCATGAATTCACCTTGTATAGAATCCATTTATTCATCTTGTTCCGTTTTTCCAGTTGCATGTAGATGAGTGGCAATACTTGATTTGTTTTTCAAGCTCATCTACCTCCTCATTTGTTACTTTTAATCTTTTATCATGAAAGGATTGCTTCTGTTCTTCACTTTCATGGTCTTCAACACACTTATCTGCTTATTAAAACTTTTGGAATCCATGCTAAATTCTACAAATAGGAGATGATTTTTTTTTCAAATGCCTGATGTTCCATACAGCTTTCTGTCTAGTTTTGAAGTCATACAGATTAATGATATATCCTTTATGTTCATGTTGCTCTTGGTTGAAATGTTAGACAAGAAAGCATGATATATATAATGCTTGAAGCATTTTTTACGCTATAGTTGGTTTATAAGTGCCAGTGTCAGGTTTATTTTTGGAGAAATACATTTTTGTAGTCGGTATACAAATTAATTTATTTTGCTAGCAATGTTTTAAAAAAGAAATAAGTTAGTAACAATTTTTTATTAGTGTTATAAATAGATCTTAGCATTTAAAAAATATAAAAGTAAAATATTGACTTTCAGATAAAAGGAATACATATGTTTTGTTTTACATTTTATAGTTAACCATAATTATTATACTTTGAATTTCTTGTACTTGCAGATATGATCCAGTTTCTGGCTGAACCCGTATCAACTGTTGTATCTGAAAACAGTTCTGTGATGATAACATGTCCCGTTTCTCCACCAGTGGCTATTGTTCAATGGTTTTATCAGGATAAAGCTATTTCAGATGATAATCAATGGATCACTGTTAATGGAACATCATTAATCATTGATGAATTTCAAGTGGGAGATGATACCAATTCACATGAAGGGACTTACTATTGTGTGGCTACTACATCATTGGGAGCCTTAGTCAGCCAACCAGCAACGTTACAACTTCCACGTAAGTGCTTTGTGATCTTTTCAGATATTTTGTAAATTAATTATCCCAAACCAAAGAAAAAATAAAGACTAAAATTTTTCAATTTCAAATCTAAATAATTAACTTTTTGCATTTATTTTAATCATTTTTTGATTGATAGTTAGAAAATTTGCTTTTCTGTTTGATTTTTTTGTTAATATAATCAGTTTAAATACTTAATGTTGGATTCTTATGTTATTAAGTCTTAAATAAGATTAACTTTTGTTTTTGTTATAATGTTTTTCAAAAACAGAAATTTAAAAAAAATAATTCTGTAATATTTGTCTTAAGAATATTATAGAATTAGAAATTTTCTCAAAGTTGGAGAACTTAGTTACCTGAAGTATTTATCCACAAATTATTTTGATTGTTAATTTGTAATTTTAAGGTAAAATCTATCAGTTGAAATGTCCGGACCTATATCAGTTATGCTATAATATCTGGTGAGTCAGTGTGCGCACCAGCTAGGCTTCTCATGACAAGGTGACATGTATGGTCAGAAGCATAGGATATTCCATTTCCAAAAGTGTGGGGAGATTTGACATGATGTCACAGGTGTGCCAGAAATACCTGATGGAAAGCAGTATCATCCACAATTGAATCTGGCTAGAATTGTCACCAGTAACAGACAAATAACACTGGCTCAAATCACATCCACGTTCAATCATTATTACATCAGTACAGAAGTTACTGGATGCATATCCAGCAGGTCAGTTAGTTTCCATAGGATGTGAGATTCACGAGAGTGCCCCTGTGCACAATGCAAATAGTCTCATCTAGCTTATGATGTTATTAATTGGACACTGGAGTACTATGAGCCACAGTTCTAATTGTTTTGGGGCTGATGGTAGGGTTTGGGTATAACATAGACACATGAAGTGATGGATCCAGTTGTCAATAAGGGACCATGCAGGCTAGTGGTTGTTCCATAAAGCATAGGACAGGAGTTGAGTCCATTGTTCCATTTAAACACATCATTAACTGTTACACTGCACTGCTTTCTGCCTATTTATCACCCATTCATGAACTCCAACAATAATAGGTTCCATGACAGACAATATGCCATATCATCAGACCTAAATTACCCAGAATAGTTTTGGGGAGCATTTTGGAGTTTTCCAACATGCTATTGACTATTTGCCAGATAGGAAAACAATCAACTATTTATGGAATGTGGTGGAGAAGTCTATTTGTACACAAATACGTACCTACAAATATCCAGGAGTTGTGGACAATTACTAGAATGACATGACTCAATTGCTTCTGACCACTCATAGAATCAATGATATGTTCAGTTGATGCACTTCACTAGAAGGTACCATACACAATACTAGGCACTTATCTTATGGCTTCTGGCACATCAATGTATATCAAACATAGCATTTTATATATTTGGATATAGATTTAGAAGGGGCTAACTTATGCCAGCTTTAAAGAAATATAAAGGATGCTCCTAAAATCCATAGCCATTGATCAAAATAAATGCAGTTTATGTACTCTATTTAATAAGATGTTTAAAATAAATCTTGCACATTTCTATACAGGTCTATCCATTTTATCCATATTACTTGGGTTGATTCAAATAGTGTGTATACCTCTCTATGACCAATTTGATATTATTATATTTAGTTCTAAACAAATGTACATATTTGATCAGCCTATCTAGAAACAGTTTATACTAAAAAATAAATTCATGAACATGTTGGTACTTTGGAATATACAGTGTTAAGTGTATGCTTATTGGTATTTTCTAAAATTTATATCTTTTATTTTTCTTGAAAAAAATCTAAGTAACAAAAACATTAATCAATTTCTAACAGCATTTTTATAATTTGATTTCTAATTCTTTAAAAACAATTGTTCTAACCAATTATTAAACTTAAATTTTACTATTTCTATTATTCTTATATTATATGATGGTCCTGCTATTTATTTTCCCTTCATAAATTTATATTTGGATACTTATTTTGACATGACTTTGAATTTTGTGCAATCTATTAATGTCTTTTCTTTGCCTTTTTAACAATCAAAATTTGTAACAGATTAATAACTGTATATCAAAGAATATGTACAGTCTTATACAGGGCCGCATTTATTAATTTTCTTCTATTTTTGTTTGTACTTGGTTGATGATTGTTTTGTGTTGCTTTGTATACACTTTGAAGTGTATAACAGTAACTTTAAAATTAATTTTTTTGTCTTAGAGTAGGTATCCCAAACTGAAATTTTATTTTCAATATATCTAGATCTTGACAAATCATAAAAAAATGTTATCAAATTTATCTTGGTAGCTCACAAAATTATGACTAAAGTTTTTTTTGTCTCATATGCTATTGGACAAAAAACTAATTTTAAAAGTGTATAACTGAAGATAGAGGCTTTAAACAAGTTAAAAATAATTATAAATGCAATTTCATATAGGAAGTCTTGAAGTAAACAATAGATAATACTAATGGAATCAATAATTCTTAGATCAGACCAGCCTAAGCATTGGGAAAATTTTGTTCTCAAGAACAAAATCCTAAAAATATGACACAGAAGAGCAAATTTGTTTCATTTGTTTCTATGTGGTGTAAACATGCATACAGGAAATACAGGAAGAAGTTGAAAAGCATTAACTGTTGAAATCCACAGTTAATGCTTTTCAACTTCTTCCTGTATTTCATAGCACAAAAGAGATGAAACTAATATTTTTCAGTAGACTTCAATAAAAAAAAAAAAAAAAACTATATTTACACCACATAAAAACAGCCAGAAGCACAATCTGGGTCAAAAGTATACCACCATATTGAACTTGCCATAAAAAAGTATCCATTGAAGTACATGCCTGAAACTTTACGAATTTTGAGATTTGGAATTCAATAAAATACCTCTTTTCACTGTAATATCAATACCTTTTGTAATATATTATTTATAATATATATTTAAAATTATGTAATTTTCAACTCATCAAAAACAGGACAGTAATGACTACAAAACTTATAAATTTGTTTTACAAAAAGAACACAAAATAATTTATAATATTGCTTTAGACTTCTTCAGTTTTAAACTGATAGAAAAGACTTTCTGAACATTGTGAATGGTTCTCCTGCACTTTCTCTCTTCATCGTATTTTGTCAACTGAATTTCCATATGGTCCTCTGATATGGCTAATATTCACTCCATATCCAGCCATCACAGGAACCTTGACAAAAAGAATGGGTGAGTGAATACTTGGACAAACTATTTACCCATAACTATCTTACTGCTCAGGCTGTAGGAATAACATATAGCTGTTACAACCATTGTTAACCTTAACAGGAGCCAGGTTAATGGAATGTTTATTATAAAATCAAAGCATTTTTAAATACACTGAACTACATTATTTTATTTTTTTTCAGTGCATTTTAATTTTAAAGGAATGTTTTTAAATAAAACCAAAGTTCAATATCCTTCAAAACTTGCTGAACTCATCAGTTGTTGTCTCTGTGTTACTTGCTTTACTTCAGTGGTGTAGCTAGTATTTTTGCCACCCCTCCCCAGAAGGAATACAATATTACAGTGCTTATTAACTCCTTAAATTTTATATACATATATACATACAGTCAATGACAAAATTATTCATGCACTCATCAATTTTTAATATTTTTATCCATTTCTCAGAATCTAATGCCAGGTTTTTTCCCATGTTTCTGTTAAACATGGTATTTATAACAACTCCTCATTGATAAATTATGAAATAAAAGTACGATTGTGTTGGTTTTTTTTTTTTAAATAAAACTGGGGATATGTAAAAAAAAAAAAAAAAAAAAATGAAGACTTTGCTTAATTTTTTTCTAAATCAGGAAAACTTTAAAAACTTTTTACGATATTAAAAGAAAGATTACTTGTTTTTGTTTATATACCTTCTGTTTTATTTATAAAGAAAAACAAAAAAAGCACATTGTACTTTTAATTCATAATTTATCAGTTCTTTTAATATTTATTTCAATTTTAACAAGTGAGGAGTCATAAATTAAATGCCACGTTAACAGAAACAGTCATTTTTCTTTTAACAATGTAAAAAAAATGTAATATTTAAATTATTTTATGTAGTTGAAGTTATTATTAGCAAAGTAGTAGAAGAATTAAAAGTCTAATAAAATTAATTTCACTTTTAAAAACTGAAATAAATGTTATCATTCATTTAATTCTTAGTCTATTTTACTTAATAAAACTTCAACTATCTAAATAAAAAATGAAACATTGTATTATTTTACTACCGTGAAAACTTTTAAATTGAAAAATTGAAAAAAATGCCCATTTTTGGACTTTAAATAAAGTTTCTGCAAAAAAAATATTAATTTTCAATTTTCTTTAAAATTTCCATTTGATATTTCCAGAAAAAATTAGAATGCATGTGATACCCTTAAAGCATTGGAATTATTTCAATTTATTTGTCTATTTTATAATTTATGAAAAGTAATGGTTTTATATCTGTCTTAAAGCTAGGCCTATAATAAGATAAAAAAAATAATTGGCTGACTTATTTTTTTTTTTTAACAGTTCACAGGCATGACAAATCATAATCAAAGAACTAATACCAAAGTCTGGAAACTGTGGATTCACTAAATCCAACCCCACATCAAGCCCTTTAAAAATGTTGAAATTTTTTTCTCACCTTTTGCTCACATCTTGTAAAGTGGGGTTTATTCCCACCAGCTGACAGGGGTTTTGGGGACATTTTTTTTTTATTGCTGGTTGCTCTGAGCCATTTTTATATCAAAGAAAAATTGGCTTCATTTGAACCCTATCTTCTTCCTTATCACTGCATTTTTGCAAAAATTATTGAAATTATGTTATTGTTTTTTCTGTTCTAAAAACTCACCATGGACTAAAAGTGCTGCCCAGGGTAGACTTCCCCCTCCGTCGCCAACTAGCTATGCCACTGCTTTACTTAACTATGTTCAATTTTAAAATTTAAGCAATTTTCATTTAACAGTAGCAAAATTTGTAGATGGTAAAAATCAAATTTATGAATACATTAATGCTTATTGAATCTAATTTCATTTTACACCTAATGAATTACATCTAATTTCATTTTACACCTAATGAATTACATCTAATTTCATTTTACACCTAATGAATTACATCTAATTTCATTTTACACCTAATGAATTGCAGCAAGTTTATCATAAAAGTAATTGAAAAAAACTTTTTTCTTTTATAGTTTAATAATTTTGTTTTCATCACTTCATGTATTGGATACTTTCATTTTATTTTTTCACTTGGAAAAACTAAAAACTTACAAAATAATAATAAAAATCCAAAACCACATTTTTATATATATATATATATATAATTATTTTTTATAAAAAAATTATAACATAAGTATGTTATAAAATCACTACAAAAATAGCCATTTTGTTTCAACACACTCTGTGTCTTATCAATATTATATATATATTGTTAATATGAAGTGGAAAGTTTATATAGAATCAATTGCTATCTGCTGATAGTAAATTTGGTTCACTGTGTTGTGTTACACAATTTTTCTCTCCAGAATCTGTCATTTATATTCATCCATACTTCAAATATTACTGTCATATATAGTCTGGTGCTATGCTAAATATTTAGAGATTTTTGATAAAATTCAAAGAATCTGCACTGTTATTGGTCTTGGCCTGGCATCCTGGTTTCAGTCATTTTCCTATTGCTGTTATGTAGCTACCCTGTGCCTTTTCTATAAATACTTTCATTGTTCTGATGATCTTTCCTCCTTGGTACCTAGACTTTATGAATTAAAGCATAGTATTAGATTGGCAACAAGGTCTCATCTTTTACAGTTGAAATGGTTAGGTGTAACTGTCAGTTCTTTGCTAACAGTTTCATTTCTTGCACTTCTCACCTATGGATTTCTCTTCTGGCTTCTTGCTTTCCAGCCATCTTTGATCTTCAAAAATTTAAATGCAATGTCAATCATTATCTACTGTCTTCTTGATTCATCTTTTATTGTTATCATTTCATAATAATGTTTTTCTTTTTCTTATTCTTTCACACTAAGTAACCCCTTGTGCCTTAGTGGCTTTATTGCTTTGCTTGGGGTGAAATGATTATACATACTCTATTTTACAGAATTTTCTGGTTTTACTACAAAATCAAGCAACATAACTGTGGAAGTAATTGAGGGTGGAGCAGCTTTATTTCCTTGTGGACAAGTTCAAAGTGTCCCCAGGGCACATCTTAGTATTGAAAAAATTGATAACGCTAAGGTTATCATGAGTAAGTAACATTGAGACTTTTCCTTATTTTAATTTATTTTGTTTAAACCAGTGCTTTAAATTCTCTAATTCTTAAGCTTTCTACAATTTTGATAAGTTTGCTTTGTGATAAGTGCTGATTTAAATACACATTTTTGACACATTTGCATTCAAATTCTATATTTCAGAATGAAAAAATAAATTTCAGAATTTAAAAAAAAAAAAATTTGGCAAACAATTTTCAGCATAAAAATTTAAACTTCATTTCCATTTTCACTATTATACTCATCATAATTGTTGTACACTAGACAATCCATGAACTGAACTCACAACCAGATATATTTTAAAATAATACACAATGCACAACACAATGTACAATTAACTGAAAGAACACTAAGCAGTAAAAACTTCCACAGTAGACTTAGCATAGAGATGAACACCATCTAGGAGCCTCTGATTATGAAAGAAAGAATATTCATAATGTTCCACCATCTGAATACAGACATTAGGTTTAAAGTTCTAAAATTATACCACTAGATTGTCCAAGAGACATATAGTCTGGTAGATTAAAGTATTGATTAAAACATATTTGAGTTCCCTGGCAGTTGTGAGTTCAGTCTCTACTTCAGTAGAAGAAATGAATGAACAAAAAAAAGTGAATTAGTGTGGTGATTATTGACTGATAAGTGCAGAAAGGGTAACAAGAACAGTATATTTCTGTGGATTAAATAAAGGGTTCAATTCAAAATTTCAAGAAGGTTACAGTATACAAAAACACATTTGTAAAAAAACTGGAAGGTACAAAGGCTGAAATATTGAGTATAACAACAAAGATGAGTATAGTGATCTGAATGGGTAAGGTATCGTGATAATTTCTCATGTCAAAAATTCCAACATAAATTTCATGCTAATTTTTCTATTTCTTTGGTTACAACATTTTTTTCTCTATCTTATTGACAAAAAATTTTTTCCCCCTTCTTTTTCTAATCAGGGAAAATTTTTGTCGTTTAAAATTCACTTTTAAATTTATCAAAGTTAAATTTCTTAAAATGTTTTGGTACCTTGTAAATACTTATTATGAAATCTCATAATTTTCCAAATAAAAATGTTCCTAACTGATAAACATGAAGCAGATTTTAACTTGTGATTCTCCCACTGTTATCATTTAAAGTGATTATTAAAGGTGATTACATTCCTTCATGTGTATCTTAATTTTATCCTGTTTATTTTTTAGTAACTTATAATAAAAATTAAATTAAGTTCATTGTAAATATTACTTATGTGCCTAAAATTATCTAGTAACATTTTTAAATGTTTGTTTTCTTCTATTTAAATTTGTATATATTTTATTTTTAGAATTTATTTACATTGAAGCAGAAGAAAAGTTTACAATGTTTTTTTTTAATGTAAATATTGGGTGTACATGAGGCAGGCTTTTAGCTAATTCAGTATATTTAAAGAAATTATTAGAGGTACAAAGTTTAATTAATGCAATAAAAACAGACATAAGAGACAAGTAATTGGCAAAATGATAAGAGAAAAAAACAAAAATGTTATAGAATGACCTAAACCATTATGGCTCCTCACTCATTAAAACACAATCAAGGAAATTAAAATATTGTGCACACTGACTAAAAATGGAAACCTGAAGAAAGAAATATATATGTATCAATAATATACAACAATGGTATATCTATAGACAGAACAAACTAAATCCTAATATCCAATTATTTTGTTTGCATAAGGATGGATGTTATGATATAATATAAATTGTCTCAATGACTTTCAAGTGATAATCAGAATGGGATCTGCTCAAAACTGAGAACATATCCTCATGGAAGGATGATGTACATTCCTAATTTTTAATAAGATGTTTTGTAATTGCAGACCAAGATATAATGGAACACTTATGCCAATTTTCAAGTTGACCCTGGTACATGTTGGGTAATTCTAAAACTTGAGTTTTACATTCCATTATGAGGTATTGTCAAGGCATAATGGTCATGCTAACAAAGGGAGAGACAAGCACATTTATAATTAGAAAGAAAGATGGATGGTTAAATGATTCCTACTGTTCTTACTGTTAACACTTACAATATTTCATCTGTGTCATGTTCTCAGAAATTACCCAGAAGAATGGGTCTCACTAGGTTCCTCTTGACCATTTTTCACTAAGAGATTTCAACAGTTTCATATCCACACCTTCGCTGTAATCATAATGTTCATGGTGAGCAGCTTCAGCTGCATTCATATCAAACAATTAGTTAGCACAGTTTCAAATTCTTGCATCATGCTTGAACCATGAAATACCTAACTCAGAAAATAACTTTTGAGAAAATTTGAAACATATTTCCTCCTAATATCATGCTCTTGTTGCAGGAGGTCAGAATGTTTTAAGTCAGAAATACTTTTAGTAGAAAAAAAACCCATAGGGTGTTCACTTTGAAACACACATATTTGATCTCTGCAAAGTTTGTTTTATGTTTTCTAAAACTGTATCTTCTCTAAAATGACTGTGCAATCAGTCACTAGCTATGAATGTGTATTTTCTGTATAGATGTTAGTATTAGCCATAACATTAAATCTGAAAATATAACATAATAAAATTAATAGGAAATATAAAATACTTGTTCAAATAAATTATTTTCACTTTAAAGGAACAAATACACACTTTTGGTTGTTTTGTTTTTATTAACAAGTGCCTCATGCATGAAATCTAAAATTTTTGTGTCAGCAACAAATTGGAAGATTTTTGCCAATAATTTGATAACCTACAATTCTCTGTAGGACTGACAATTTAACAAGAAAAATACCTTGAAAATATTTTTCATAAATCTGCAGTATATTTATTATTTCTTTTTGAATAGCAATTTATAATACAATTCATATAAATTAATTTCCCTTTCTTGAACCTATTGATTTCTAATATGTAATGAAGCTATATTCAATTTAAGAAATCAAACTCGAAAAAGATTGTGGGTTGTCAGAGCAGCTTGAAATTGAATACAAAAACAATGTCAAAAAAATAGTATCTTTTTGACAGACATTGAACAATTTTAACAATGAAATAAGTAAATCAGTTCTGCAGTGATAGTCTCATAGAAATTACCTTTACTAAAGGTTAAGTTTGCAATTATAAGATAATGATGTCACTATCATATTATCACAGATATATTTACAATACTCTAAAAATAAAATCATACTGAAATTTTTGCGATCTGTCTACTCAGATTTTTGTTACTTTCCAAGTGTTAGAATTCCAAACATTTAACAACAACACATCTTTTAAATGAAACATAAAATGTTCATTTTTTCTTGCAGTGAAGTTTGTTTTATAAAGTAATTAAGTGTTTTTAGTTTGGTCTGAAATGTGTGAACAGACTTGCTTTATGATGGCCAGCCTAATGTGTTAATGAGTGCGTAGACAAAAGCTTAGTCAACAGCTGTTGGTTATTCCCTTCTATTATGTGTATATGGACAAGGCCTTAGATGGTGGCTGCTTCCATTGTGTGCCTGTGTGTGTACACACATGTAAATTAAACTGACCTCCATAATTGTTTTGAAGTCCAAGAAACAGTAAACTTCTATTTTTATATTTGTAAGGGAGTTTCAAAATCTAATGTCTCACAGAGATGTGAACTTTTTGAATACAAGGTTTTCATTTGTTAGAAAATAATTTCACACTGGCTTGCGAAAAGGTTTTTCTCAAATATGCAGGAGTGGTGAAAGGAGTTATTATTGTTTTTCTAAATTATCCAAAAATAAACGTGGAAGGTTTACAACTACATTCACAAGTATTTTAGTGGTATTTGCACTTGTAATTATTGTTTATCAAACAAACCATCTGATAAGATTTATTGGTTGAAAAATATATATAGAATTTAATTTCTATAATATATTTGATATAGCAGAAAATGTTATCATTAATTTTAATGATTTGGGAATTATTTTACAAAAAACAGTAATTACTATATCAGATCTTTTATAATTTTTTGAAAACTTAAAAATCAGTAATATGCTCATACAGTGTGTGTGCGTGTGCGCTTAAAGTTCATATATATACTGCTTTGGAAACAGCTGTAGTTCTTTCAATAAATCTTTTGTCTTTGAATGAGTTATTGTTTCTAAGTTTAAATAGCATTACCACTAACCCAAGGTACCTTAGTATAGCTAAGTTACCCTGGGTTAGTATCCTCAAAATATAACCAGGCTTTGCTGACTCTCCATCAATAGATGAGAGTATCTGTTTAACTTAGGAACTTAATATATTTCCTCTTTTCAAATACCAAGTTTAGTTAGGTATTTTTAGCTGAGTTGACAGTAAATCATCAACATGCTAGTTTAATCAAAATCATTAATTCAATGTTTGTGTATTTTTCTATGGTTCTCTACAACATGGCAGCCTCTAACGTTGGTTTTCCAATGAAACATTTTAAGTCACTGTACTCATGATTGTTGATTTTTAAATATTATGAGTGATGTTTAGATTTTAAAATTTTTTATCTCGGTTCATCTATGATTTCATACCAGTGGTTGTTATTCTTGTATAAAACTTCAGTTTGGATTTGGACCTTATGTGATTAGAAGTAGTTTCATATTGAATTAGTGTACAGTACCATGAAATAAGTGGTATTCTGTATATCAATATTCAACACTAGATATCTCACCTGAGATGATAGATAGATAGGTAGAAATCTATTTATTGCCTAGAATGAGTGGAACATTGTTGCAGCCATTTATTACAATATTTGGTTGTAAAATCTGGGTTATTACAGAAGACTTGCATTCTTAAAATCTGTTTTTAAGGTTATATTTTCTTTTAGGTTCAACTAGATTATTAAAAAAACATTTATGGGTTTACTGTGAGTATTATGATTTTTTTTTTTAAGTGGATTGACATTTCAGTTTTTTTTTTTTGTTTTTTTTTTACAATATTTATTCTCCATAGGTTTTGTAGAAATGTTTTTGGGTTTCATTTACTTGTTTTAAGAGTTTAAGTGTCTTTAGTTGGGTCCACTTGAAGCTTTCTTTTCCTGTCTAAAGTAGTAAGTGATTTTATTTATTTTATTTTTTTTACTGTGGGAGGGTTTAAAGTAATTTAGGAGTTATTTAAAATTTAAATCATTTTTTAAAGGTTTCTAGAAGTTTCTTTGAAATGCAACCTGACAGTTTCACGATGCATTACATAACAGAGGACAATTATTCTAATGTTACAAGAAGTTAACTCCTTCTCAAAACCCTTCTCTTAATCATAGGTTCTGGTTGAAAACAATTCACAAGAAAAAATTCTTAAAATATTATTTTGTACACTGTAGCACAAAGAACTTTGTGAAAAAGTGTACTTTCCTCCTTAAAAAAGCAAATTTTGAAAAAGTATCTCACAAAAAACATACCAAGTGACAAACCCATGTTTCTTTGAGCCACTTCAGTCGAATGAATAGTCCACTTGCACTGGAAATTAACTTCACCCATAAAACTGCATGAATTTCTTTGAGAAATGAGCTAAAAGTATTTTGGAAAACAACAGGGTAAACTACCACTTCTACAAAAGATGCATCATTATTCTGTCTTCTGGATATTTCTGTGAAAGATAAACTTCAAGAAATTCATCATAGAAGATTGGAATCCATATACTATAAAGCCACATCAGGTTCAACCACTTTTTTGCTCAATGTTAAAGGCAAGATCTTTTCAGTGTCCTTTTATATTTTAGTAATTTATACATACATCAGTTCATAACTTTCTGGACTATCATAAAGGAAGCTAAAAATAAGAAATAATCAGTTTCATGCATTCTAGTTAGACTATTAAATGCCGATACTGCTAGAAAAGTCAGTGAATGTTTCTGGATTTCAAAAGTGATAAGTTTCATGTCAAAATCTATCAAATGAATTTATATGAGATTTTGGAATTCAAAATTTATATATACTTGGAAAAAGTTTATTTACAACACATGACCAAAACATTTCATGTAAAACTTTTATATTTGGTATGTATACTTATTAGGCCGAGAGAAAGGTTTCAAGGGAGCTCTGCCACTTTTCTGTTATGCAGAAATATTTTTTATAGTAATCTCTACCACATGTAACTGTCCAACCATAATTTTATTCTTATTATTAATGTCTAGACAAGAAAAATATTTGTGTTCTTTAAAAAAGCAATTTCACTGAACAAGTTTTCTCCCAAAATATATTTCCTACTTTTCAATATTATATTACACCTGAATAATGACAATAACAAATTTTCTTAAAAATTGTAAAACAGATTTTTCTCACACATTTCATTTTTTTCATCTTGGGGTAAGTTATGTGAAACAAATTTAATTATGCTTTGTTTCTTTAAGCAGAAAATGTAACTACAATAATTGATATACAATGATACTTTACTTGTGCTAATAATTTAATAAGCAGAGCAGATGTCTGTTAGTTATTGAAGAATAGTTTATACTATTTAGTGTCATTACAAATGATGAATTTAATTCTTAGATACTTAAAATCACTGCAGGTATATAACATTTGCAGTGGTTAAAGCAATGGATCATTTAATTGGTATCTAAAAAATTTAGAGCATATCCTAAATAGCTTTATAAAGCTCAATTTCAAAACTGAAAATACCAACAATGTCATTTAAGTAATATAAAATAAAAAAAGCTTATAAAAGAAAAAAAAAACACCCAGCTATCTGTTCAAACTGAAAGAAAATAGAATAAAAAATATGTTGTAAGGGATAAAGAATACACTGTTTGTATAAAAGGAATAGTTGGTGCCATTGCATCTGGTAGAGTAAGAATTGATTCACAATTCTGTTCATTAAAGCAAATACAGAAAAGAAAGGAAATGGTGATTAAAGAGATTTTTCAGTTGGGAAGAGATATAGTGTCTTGCTGTAGCAAAATGTAAATAAGAAGCATTGAACAAATAGAGAAAATGTTGTCTTATATAGTGTGGTCCTAAACTTTTCTAAGAATTTACACGTTTGAGATAAAACCAAATACTGGACGTTTTTGTTGAGAACTACTTAAAAATGTTGAGAAACTACTAATAAAAATAAGTCAGTAAAACATGGCTGCCTTAAGGTACATTTAAAAAAGAAACATAAAAATCATGTCAATTGAAAAATTGTAATTGAAAAGTAGATCAATAATTTGTTTTTTATATCAACTGCGTCCAATAATCTCACTCTTAAGGCTAGTTATGAAATTTTTCTGCTTATAACAAAAATATAAGATTCAACTTTTCTCAAAACATTTCTGGGGGGAAAATGACAAAAATGTAAATGACTTCTCACTGAATAATGACACAGTTTGCAGTGGAATATATATAAATATAATAAAAATATTGATGAACAGCTTATTGTAAAGTGAAAATATCTTGATGGATATACAAGATATAGATCAATGAATCTACTGTAAGAGCATGATCTTTTATTTTTGTATGTGTGAGATATATTTCTGTGGATATTTTTGAAAATCATTAGGAATTACAACTACAGTGACAAGTCTAAAAAGCTTAAAATCTATTTGGTTGAAAATGTCACTGAAAAACATCACATCTGCAATGATAGGCAAGAAAAATGACTTTAAAATTAATGAAGACTCACAATCTAGAAATGCTGCTTGAGATACTATCATAGAAAATTTGGTTGTGAAAATATTTCACTTGCTAATGCTAATTATAAGTTTATTTTAAACAGATTTGTAAGAAGAGGGAAAATGAAGACTTGCTTTGTATTGATGTAAGATGACTGTTAGAAAAGATTCATGGAAGTATTCAGACTTTAAAATGGCAAACTTCAAATGAAGCTACTGGTAACAGTTGATGACAAAGTTACTTAGCTGATTTTTTTTTTTTAAAGTGAATATAGTAAATAATCAATTTCAAGGACCAAGTATGATAATTGTTGGTTCAAAGACAAAGATATTTGGCTTTATTACATTTCTGGAATTGTTAAAAATTATTTAAATTTTATTGGTTAAATAAGTATGACTGAAGCTAACCAAATTTGAGTCTGAAATGAAAACTATTTGTAGTAAACATTACACTAGAATACTAAATAGGAAAATTTAAATTTGCTATGTTTTTAGAGGATATTGTAATTTAAAATACTATTATAATAGCTTGGTTTATATAACAATTTTTACAACTTGATATAAAAAAGTTTCTGGCTTTGAAAATCTTTTAAATTTTTTTTCTCTTTTATTTAAAACTGTAAAAGTTGGTAAATTTTTGAACTACCATTGTAACAAATTTGTTTTCTTTTGTAGAAAAAAAAAATCTCTTAAGATGTCAAGTTGGAACAGGGAGCAAGAAAAAAACTAAAACATAACACATCAGTTTTCTTTAGCTAGGATAGAAAATTGAAACAAAGTTAGATGATTATGAATGAAAAATAAAAAGTTATTTTCTTTTCATTGTAGATAACACATTTGTGTTACCTTCCAACAATTTCATAATGAATAATGTCCATATTGAAGACAGTGGGACCTATCAGTGTTTAGCAACCAATCCCGTTACAAATGAGACGGCTGCATCTAACCAAATGATTGTACTCAGTGTAATACCTCTTGGTAAGTAACTTGAAGACCAACCAATATATTTATCATATGCTTTTGTGTTTGAACTAGTATATTAATCTAAGTGGTTATACTACAATATTTCAGTCATTTTCCTTGGAATTTTGAACCAAACCGTTTACACGAGTAGATTATTCTCATATCATGTTCCATGCTTTTATTCACGTGTCTGTTTTCTTCCACTGAAAATAGATGACAGACACTGAAAGAAATCCAGAGGATATAACTGCCAAAATCTAACAGTCAAGATATATCAAGAATACTGGTACAAATGACAAGACATATAATAATTCCTCAATACAAAAATTCCAGTGATATTTAATTACAATCCTGAAGATTGATAATTACAATCAATGAAGATGAAACACTTTATCTAAAAATGTTTTATTTTATTTTTTCTTTGATAATGCATTTGTTTTGGTGTCATATTTTCTTAAATAAAATGAAAAGTAATACACAATCAAATTTTATGATGCAAGTATTCATAATAAAATTGTTATTACCAACCAATGTTAGTCAAATGTTTAAGGCCAGAAATAAAGTCACAAAGAGTTAAACAAATATATTAATAGAAACAGTAATACAAACATATGCAAATGAGAGTGTTACAGCAAGAATGTTCGGACTGACTGTCAGAGCTGACTACTGGAAACTTCCCTCTCCAAAAAGGCAGTACCTGATCTTATTTATAGCTGGGAGAGTCCATGTGTGCATAGGTAAATTACCATAACAGGGTATAAGGTATTATGCAAACAAAGTGCAGTATAATTTATAAATAAATTCAAAATATATATACACTATAAAAATTATTTGATTAATATCCCATATATTTGAATAAATTATTATTTCATATACATTTTAGAAATATTTGAAAGCAGTCTATTTTAGAAAAAAAAATTGTATACTCAATTTTTCACTGAACTGAACAAGTTAAAAATTACAAAATAATTTTAAAACACAATATCAGAATATGCACTAAAAGTATTTTTTTTTTCTTGGCTAAAATTCGATTTTAAATGAATGGATTTTCATTCAAATATGATTTCTCTTTCTCTCTCCGTGAGATTACATATAGCCACACTTTCATATTTGTTTGTCAAGTATTAATTACCTAATCATATATTTTCCAGAATTATCTCCTAATACATGTCTATATGCATTTTTATATAATTCTGTATAAGCATGATACATTGACATGCCAGTATGTAAATGTAATGGTAGGTGGTGTCACTGTATCGTGACATATCAGTTGTGCTCTCACACCTGGTGAGTCTTCTGACCACTTGTAGAATTGATGCCACATCAAGTTGCTGCACTTTAATAGTCTAGAGCAGGCATGTCAAACTCAGAGTCCCACGAGGGCCAAAGGAGACAGTTTGTGTTCTCATGAGGGCCGCACTCCTATATTTTATTTAAGGTTGTTCAATAAAAATTATTGCAGAACATTTCCTTTTAATTTAGAAACATGCAATGGTTTGGTTATCAAGAATACAAGTACAAAGTACATGTAGTTAAACAAAAGAATATAACTAAAAAATTTATTTTATTTCGATATAACAAAAATTTATAAGGCAACATACATGGCCCACATGTATTTAAATGAACAGCAAATGAATTGCACATAAATCATAATATTCAAAATAAACATTTATTATTGATCATTTTAACTTTTCATGTTTTGTCCCAAGGCTTGACACCTCTTGTTCTTGACAATCTTTGGTATATCTGGCTGAAATTTCTGTGCATTTCCGACTTTTATAAGAGATGATAAGTGATAATCAGTCAACCTGGTTCTCTGAGAAGTTTTTGTTGATTTCATAAAGGAAAATAACTACTCACACAAATAGGTGGAACCAAACATTGCTAAGATTTGTGTTGCAAACTTTCTAAGATTTGTAAATCTTTCTGGAAGGTATGAAAAGAAATCAGGTATTCCTACCTCAAAATACTTTGCTCTAAGTAAAGAATCTGACTGCATTTCTAAAAGCTCCATTTGAATGTTTACATCTGCCTTAGCAACATCAAAAGTAAACGACGTAGAGAATAGTGCAAACGGATCTTCAAAAGATGAAAAATCACGAAATCTTTTTTGCAACTCCGTTGACAACAATTCCAGGTGACTTTTATACTTAGCAAAGCATAGTACAGACTTAGTATTAGTACTGTTTTTTAGCTCTTTGCACGTAGGAAAATGAACTAAATTTTCATTTAAGACTTGTGACTTCCATAACCTTGACTTTGTAATGAAGCATTTAATGTCATCATACAAGTTAGTGATGAGCTTGTTTTTACCTTGTAATTTCAAATTGAGATCGTTTAATTGTGCTGTGATGTCCACAGCAAAAGCTCGATCCTGGAGCCAACTTTCATCTTTTATTTCATCGGTGTTTCAACCTTTCATCTCCAAAAATATGATTATTTCTTGCCTTAATAAATAAAATCTTTTCAATACTTTGTGACATGACGACCATCGCACATCTGTGTAAAATGGAACATCAGTAAAGTGATTACCCATATCCTCCAACAATTGGTTGAATTGATGGTGATTGAGAGAATGGCCTCTGATATAGTTAACTATGCTTGTGACCAAATAAAGCACATGATCCAATTTTAAAATTTTTGAGCACAGATTTTGTTGATGAATAATACAGTGAAAATGTGTAACTGACAAATCTGGATGTAAGTTCTTTATTTTTGCTTGTAACTTGGCAAAAAAAAACATTATGCCTTCCAATCATATTTGCTGCACCGTCGGTAGACAAGAATACAAGTCTGCTTAAATTGAAATTATGCTCATCAAAAATTTTTTCGATTTTCTCAAAGATGTCCTGGCTTGTTGTAGTGTCATGCATAGGTCAACCAGTTCTTCATAAATGTTTAATTTATTGTCACAGGCCCTCATGAAAATTGCAAGATGTGCTATTCCAGAAATATCAATAGTCTCATCAATTGCAATAGAAAAATGTCCAAATTTGGATGATTCGCTTTTCATCTGTTGCTTCAAATCACTTGACATTTCATCGATTTGTTCAGCAACAGTGTTCTGGGTTAGTGAAATATCTGTGCAAGTGTGCTTTTTCTGGACATACAATTTCGGCCATTTTTACAAGGCATTGTTTTACAAAATCCCCTTCAGTGTAGGATTTCGCATTCGTCACTATCATTCGGCTGAGTTCATAACTTGCAGTAACCGAAGCGACATTCTCTTTCTGAATTTTCGTAAAAAGGTTCTGTTGCTGTGTCAAGTTAACTTTCAATTCCTGGAGCTTTGAAACATGCATTGGGCCTTCATATTTATCGTAAGGTAGATGGTTTGTTTCATAATGCCTTTTCAAGTTGTATGTTTTCAGCGTACAAATGTGATTATTGCATATTAAACACTGTTTCTTTCCATTCACTTCTGTGTAAAAATACTGTAATTCCCATTTCTCTTGAAACATTCACCCTTCTTCGTTCACTTTTCTTTTTTTCTTAGTCAGAGAAGCATTAGCCATTTTAAAGATGATGTGGAATCTGAAAAATTAAGAAATAAGAAAAAAAAAAGAAAACAAAAAATATAATATCAATAAAAGTGGAATAAAACAAAGAACCTGACTCCTGCACACTATTACCTGATTCATATTTTTAGTTTAAAGTCAATTTAATAAAACGTAAACAATAAGGCCTTTTATTTGAAAATGACATAATAATAAAAATTAATTATATATTTTGTGGCCAGTGAGTGCTCCCAATACTTCACCACCGTTTCACCTTTAATGAGTCTCTGCGCTTATCTGTCTTTTGACCTTTGCTGCGTCTCAGTTCCTCTCATCTTGTCCTTGACCCATGTATCTCTTGCACCATCCGATTCTCTCCTTTTGCAATGTGCGTATATGTAATGAGTGATTGACAAAAATATAGACAGTTACATGTTGCTGCTTCAATTGCTTAAAAGGCTGGAGATGCAAAAGTAGATGAACTACTAAAAAAAGTATATAAAAAATAGTGGAAATTTCTAATTTATTTTTGTTTAAAATTGTCTGTGTGGGCCGCAAATCTACTTGAAATGGGCCGCATGCAGGCCGCGTATTTGACATGCCTGGTCTAGAGGAGTCCTACATGATACTAGACATCTTATCCCATGACTTTTGGTCTATCAGAGTCTATCATATGTCGATTTTGTGTTATATTTTTTATTATCCTGAGAAAGAAACATTTTTCTTTATTTTAAAATAAATATTAGTATTGTTTTTCAATTTATTTAGCATCCTTGTTTATCTGCAATTTTAATAAATATTTTAATTTGTCATCTAAGCATTTCAAACATATCTTTACTTTTAAAGCTTTTATAATCATTATTTATATAAATCTGTTAACAGAATGACAAATTAGATAACATATTTTCTTAGTCCTAAAATCTACATACTAATATTTTAGTCCTTTTATTAAAATGGTAAATATTTTTTGTACATGAAATGTTTTCAGCTAAGTACTATTTATGAAATAAATTACTTTTTGTTGTTGCTTGCTGAACATCAGTTTATACATTATTTTATTTGTTATTTCAGAATCAGCCCAAAATCAATCTCCCTACATTTTTGGAGCAACAAAACCAACAATTATGTGTGTCAAAGAAGGTGACACAATTATATTAGAATGTGCTGCTTTTGCAAAACCAGCTCCAAAGATTACCTGGAAAAAATATGGTGGCCATTTATTAAATATTAAAAAAGAAAATTCCTTTGCAAGTAATGTTTTTTTCATAGATTAATTTTTATTTTAAATATTGTATTTAAAAAACATCAATTTATTTTTTTATTTTGTTTTTAATCTACACTCTACAATTTTTTTTTCCAGGTAATTTAGTGATTAAAAAGGTTCATCATCGAGACAAAGGAACATATATTTGTTTAGCTGACAATGGAATTGGAAATAAAGTTCAAAAAGTGTTTCAAATAGAGGTTTTAGGTATGAACAATCTAAAATTATTTCATGCCAATTTTTTTGTGCTTGTTTTTTGTTTTAGAATTGGCTCTTACAAATGTTGTTTCTTGTACTTATACACACACACACACACACACACACACAGATGCTCTGAAAATAATAAATCCTATTTCTTTCCATAGAAATTATAACAGCATGTTGATATTGATGTTTTCAGTTACAAAACTATTTTTTCACATAGTTACTGCCACTGTCTATGTATTTGGGATGAGCAAGAATGCTTCATTTTTGTGAATTGACAGCTGCACCCTTGAATAACGCTTGTCACATCAATTCTATGTGTGTGTGTGTGTGTGTGTGTGTGTGTGTATATATATATATATATATATATATATACACACATACACATACACACACATGTTGAAGTGTCATTATTTTAACCTCCATTTTAACTTAGAGGTAAAATGTAAAATAAGGAAGTTATTTTTCAAATTACTTGCTAAAAAACTTCAGAATTACATAAGATATTTAACACAGTAAGCTGCACTAGTAATTTAGAAACAATAATAGACAGAAAGGCAGAAATTTCAAAATATAGTTAACACTAGTAATTTATGCAACTGTAGAAATAAGAATAGATGTTCATTAGATGGAGCTTGTAAAACTGAAGCAATAATCTATAAAGCAGAAGTTATAGATATTAATGGTCAGAATAAAATGTTTATAGGATGTACTGAAGGTTCTTTCAAATGAAGATGGTACAATCATTGGTCGTCATTCAAGCTAGTAAGTCCTAGGAGCTCTACCAAAGTAGCTAACCATATGTGGAATTTAAAAGAAGAAAATAACAGGAATACAATTGTAAGATGCAAAATTTTAAAAAACTGCAAAGCCTTACAATAACCACAATAACATTTGAAACTTCTGCTAACAGGAAAAATTAGCAATAATGACATTTCCGGATCCCAAAAAACTTTTAAACCAGAACTGAAGTCATGAGCCCTTGCATACATACAAAAAAATTCCTCTTAAGCTTATATGAGACTGATTAAAAAAAGCATGTACATTTCAATTACCCCCCACCATCAATGCATTTATAATACCTTTGCTTTTCTCTTCCTTCCCCTTCTTCTCTTTCCTTCTTCACATCCTCCTCCTCCCTTTCTATCACACCCAGCGCTGTGCATTTGTTGATTTATTCTTAAAATAATTGATAAAAATTGCCTGAGGATACTGTAAGGTTGAAACCAAAGTAGCGAAATCAACTGATTAAAGTTAAAAGCTCTACCTGTTATTTTTTATTTTTCATTTTTTTTTTACATGTGTATTGAGCACTTTTTAATACTACTGTTTCCTGGTCGATTCAACTCTGACCATTAACCTTTTATGTATTATATATATGGTTCAATAATATTGACAAGTTCAGTCTATTAAATTTTTTAACTTTTTCAAATTTCTGAATTTGATAAATTTACCAGTTACATAAAACAACAAAGTTCATATTTATTTTTATTTTATATTATTTTTTTCTCTAAATACTTTTGAATGTTGTTACATTCATTTTTCAAGGATTGTTTTGTGTTTGTTTATGTAATTGTTTTTGGTTAATTCTAGCATTCTCATGTTTACTGGGACCAATTTCAAGTCACTCAAGGTGATGTCATTTAAATGGTCAAGCTGTATTTTTTTTGTATATTTAATATACAAACACACTTTAATATACAATCTCCTATGGAGAACAATACCATTTTTAATGTTGACAGTTTCTGTTTTATTATAACAGCCTCCAGAATTTTGAAATTTCCTTTGAACTTTGTCATATATGAAATTTGATATTATCTACTAAAATTTTTCTTATGTTAATATTATTTTGCTTTTTTGTTATATGTTGATATATATGTATGTGAATTGCACTTGATTTTAATAAAATGACAAATCAACCTATAAGATTGTGGTGCATATATAGCCAATGTAAGAATTTAATGTTTTTTTTTATTGTTAATGTTAGTGTTGGAGATACAATCTCCCAAAGGACATAAGATTTCATAAACTACATTGTTTTTACATAAGTTAGATTTTTGAGGTGATGAATTATTTCTAAGAATTAGTTTAGATGTTTAATCTAATTCTTGATTTGAAATTTGTAACAGCAAACGTGAAAACATGGGAATTAACCAAAATACAGTCCTTGAAAGTGAATGTAGCAAAAAGTACTCAGGGAAAGATATAATTTAAGATAAAAATAAATATGAACTTTGGCAGATGTATCGATTACATAAAAAAAAAAATTGTAAATTTTAAAAATTTAATGGAAAAAATTTGATAGAACTAGTTGATATTATTTAACCAAAAATGTTTGAAAGAATTATTGCTGCCAAACTTATTTATATATATATATATATATATATATATATATAATCATACAATAGGAATTAAGATTACATATAGGTGATAATTGAGATAATTTACAAGGATCCTCAAACCAGTATATATATATATATATATATATAAAGAAAAATATACTGAAAAAAGAAACAAAAATCCTAATATGCGATTATGCTGTTTTAATGTTTAATGTCAACGTCGGACGTTTCGGTCTAATAGACCATCTTCAGGACATATTCATAAAACATAATTAACATAGACCATATACAATTCAACATGAAAAAGACGATGGACATAAAAGCAATATCAATCCAAACAGATAACTGAAATCTTTTATAAGATCAGCGTTCCGTTTAAATATGATCACGTCGTCGTCACGTGGGCAATGTTGTGAAAACATATTCCTAAAATTTGAGTATTTTGAATGAAAAACGAAAAGAATTTTATTTTGATCTAAAGCTTATATGTACGTTTCTTGCTAGAAAAGGGGAAATATTAAAGAAGCCAGGTCTAGTGTTCACCGTGCGTGAGATAGATATTATGCCTGCTTCATAAATCTGCCTAAGATTTTTATTATGAAAATATTTTAAAATCCTCACAGAATCAAAATCGAAATTATGATCAGCTTTAGTTGTGTGTACAACTAAAGCATTGTTTAAATTTCCGAGGCGAATATCTCGTTTATGTTCGAAAACATGAGATTTTACGGACCTACATGTTTCACCCACATATTTTAAGTCACAGTTGTTGCATGAGATTTGGTCTATGTTAATTAGTATGCCTAGGGTATCCTTATTCCATTTTCTCCTTTTGTTAAATATTCAGGAAATTTACTCCAGTCCTTTAATTTTGCAGAGCCTCCAAAAGCAGATGAAGGACATGTTGTAGTTGAAGAGGGACATAAAGCAATTTTAAGCTGTGTAACAAATAACAAATCAAACTTTTCTATTAAGTGGTTCCATAATGGTAAACATCTGACAAAGAGTAAAAACATCCGAATTCGAGGTAAAAAAGACTTTTAATCATTTCTCGCAAATATAGTACATCAAGTTTTATTGTATGTTATATTCTTATTAGTTCAATAAAATAAAAAAGACAAAGTAATTTTACAATTTCATTGGTTATATTTTTTTCTAGAAGTTTTATCTATGCAGTTAATTCTCTTGCATGCAAGAAAGAATTCTGCTTTTTAAATCATTAAAAGTAAAAGAAAAATGTTCTTTTTTTAATGGACGACCTAACATATTAAAGCAGATAATCACATATTATAGTTGCATAAAAATGTGCTTGTAATATTATTTTATTTATTCAGATACATCATTAGTGATTAAGTCAAGCCAGCATGAACATGCTGGCTTATATCAGTGCATGTTTCACAACCAAATGGGACATTCTTATGCAGTTATTCAACTTGAAATAAAATCAACTAACAGAGCAGAAGATAAAAATACTCAACTACAACCAAATGGCAAAGTTGGTGAGTTCTTCTTAATTGGAAATAATTATAGTTTCTTTTTCTTTTTTTCTAACAAAAAATATCCTTGTAAATGTGTGTGTATATGTATATATGTGTATGTGTACCTATATATATATATATATATATATATATATATATATATATATATATATATATGTGTGTGTGTGTGTGCAATTTTATTTTACATTGTGCAGTTTGTTCTGAAATCTAAATGAATCCTTGATTTTTCATCTAAAAATTTGTAATTATTCTTCTGATAAAAATTTAACCAGTGAATTAATTTTCTCCATATATATTTTCTTTTATATAAATAATGTTGATAAGAAAAATTAAAAAGTAATATTAAAAGCATATTTTAGTTTCTTCACAATGTGTTCAAATTGGATGCAATGAAAGCATTAAAATGATTTTTATTTTTTGTGGAATAAATTGGTTGTTTCTACTATTTTCTGCATTTTTGTAATATAAAATTCCAATTTCTTTCTAGATAAAAACATCAAAAGTGATTCTCAGGGTGGATCATCTGTCAGTAAAAGGCAAAATGGTAAAAGAAATAAGAAAGGGCGAAAAATAAAAGTGAAATCCAATAAGAAGAAAAATAAGCTAAAGAAGAAAAATTCTAAGGATAAAATTAAAAACAGTAAGTAAAAATAGTTTCATTATTTCTTTTATAGTTATTGAAATTATTTTTTATTAAATGTCATCAATTTCATAGAAGTACATAGCTAATAATCTTTTTAATATTTAAAAACTTTTAAAACTACATTTTGCTTTCCTTTTTATATGAATTTCCTCTTTAGCAAATATGGTTCCACCTTCAAAACCCAAAGTAACTAAACATTCAGACACATCTGTACTAGTGGAGTGGACAGTCCCTGCTAATGATGGAATGGCTATCACATTTTTTGTTGTGCAATACAAGGAAGTTTCTCCCAACAAAGGAGAATGGCAAACAGATGATGAACAGATCCCACCCAAAGTTCGGAAAGTCACTGTAGATAGACTTAGGCCTGGTTAGTATAAATTTTATTTGTTAATATGTCAATTTAACCGTTTGTTGCTTTTAATGATTACTATTAAATGATTTGGAAAAAATCATTAAATAACTATTATACATCTGTTTACAAGACATTAAAGTTGAAATCTTGCTTTCTAAAGGTGGCACTTATAAGTTCCGGATAGCAGCTGTTTATTCCAACCAAGACAATGCAATGGGAATAAATTCTGAACGCTTCACTTTAGTGGCAGATGGTGACCATATCTCTGAGAAAAGGCTGGTGCAAGGACCAACTATTGTGAAAGTAGACAAACTTGTTGTAGATAAAAACTATGCATTGGTCGTTGAATGGAAAGTAAGTACTGTAAGTTTAATTGATTTTTTTTTTTTTTTTATGAAATGCTTTTAAACATTGGTAAACTATATAAGGCAAAATTTTATTGAAATCTAAACTCAGATATGTTCAGAAGCCTCAAAAGACTAATTCAAATTCTACTTAATACTTGGTATGGCAGAATTAAAAAAGATCAAATTTTTTTAAAAAATTGCACAGTCGCTGTCAGATTATTTAATTATCTATTTTTATTTTTCATGCAAATGTAAATTTTTGTTTTGATTTCACTTTTAAATAATTTTGAATTGACACACAATCATTCAAATTTTAATTTGCTTTGACTTTCTAAACTCTTAGCTGTTTATAAATATATATCTTTTATCAATATCTTTTTACATTCTGTTGAGTTTTTATTCATTTTATCTTTCAGTATATCCATGTGAAGTCAACACCTATTGATGGTTTTATCATCTTCTATAAGCGATATGATGAGAATGTTGCCTATACAAAAATAACACTTCATGAACCAGAAGTGCGTATGCATATCATACGTAATTTGGAACCTGCAAAGGCTTACAGCATCAAAATGCAATGCTTTAATAAAGTCAGTTATAGTGTGGACAGCAATCATGTAGTCAAAAAAACATCTTGTGAGTAAGAAATTTCAATCAACTCTTATTTTGATAGCTTTATTACAGATTTTCCTTAATCCAATTTCATGAATATGCTTCTTTTAAAACTTGTCTTAAATTCATTGTTTTAAACCAAATGATATCCAGTATTTTTTGTAGTTTGGAACATTTACTTTAACTTTCTGCTTCCTTTTGAGAGTAAAACCATTCTTTTAAAGTTTAAATTATCACATTATTTTGTCTTTTAGAAATTTAACAAGTTTCAAACTTACAGGCATAGGCATCAACATGTCGGTATTTAAAGTAATTTACAAAATTTTAAGTGATAATCTAAAATAATAATAATAATTTAAAACTATTTGCCAATTTAAAATATTAGATTCAAAAACAATTTGTTGGAATAACAATAGTTGATAAATTGTAGTTATCCAAATATCTTTTAATAATAAAACTGCACAAATGTATTTCACATGTAAAAACTTCAACTTTGATTTATGAATATAAATTTCCAATTTTAAAAATTCTCCTGATTATAGAAATTTAGCGTTTTCCTTTCAGATTGCCTCCCTTAGTGCTTCTCTTAAATTATCCTTCTTTTTATCCAGCACCAGAAAATTGGGAAGACACTAACTACATTCCTCATGTACCTTCTTTACCTTCTGGATATCACCCAAGAACAATTTGGACGTCTACTGTTAGCTCCAAAGATAATTATGAATCAACTAACAGTACTCAGTCTAGCAGTGAATTGCTTTACAAGATTTTGGGAGGCATTCTCGCTATCATGGTACTTGTCTTGCTGATGCTTATGGCAATGTGCTGCATAAAACAACGCCAGCAAAGAAATATGATGGGTAAGTTAAATTAATTTTATTTAGATTCATGATTTCTTATGACCTTTTGCTATTCTTGCATCATGGGAATTTAAAAAAAAAAAATCAAGAAAATTCTAAATCTTTGCACTATTTTTTTTTGTAGCTGCTATGAATTCTTGCGAACATAAAAAGTACATGAATGGAGGCCATTATCCTGTAAACGGTAATATTAGTAATGGTCATATTGGGCATCATACACATCATAGCAGAAATTACCGACACCAAATAAGTGGTCAATCAATATCTAAACCCTATGCCTTTAATGACATGATTGACAGCTATACATCAACTCCAGCCTGTTCAAAATCATTGCATATGGTATGTATTTATTTTCTGATAATTTTATGAATATTAAATGCTGAAATTTTATTTTTTTTGTTTCTATTCAGTTTTTATTGTAGAACAATCAATTCCTCCCCTTTAGTCTTCTAGAAACTGTCTCTACTTATCAAGAAATTTGTAATTTGTAATTCTAATTTATAACCAACACTTAGGATGAAAAGTTAAGTTACTTTTCCAGTTTAAATAAAAGAAAGCAATAAAAAACCCTGAATATTAAAAATCACATCTTAAAATCAGTTTTTTGAAGCAAATCTGAAATTTAGTGACTTTTAGACTTCATGAAAGGGAATTGTTTTAAGACAGATTTGTAAGTACATATTTACTTAAATAATCTATAGGAGGTACAACATTTTATTATAGCTTGAAAAACACATTTTAAAATATACAAATATATTGAAATGAAGGGAGAGAAAGAGCAAAGATAAGAAAAATATATTAATCATCATAAAGTGGTGAATGTTCCTCACTCTTCAGAGTTTATTCTAGGACAAAATGTATATATGCAGAACAACTAAAATCATGGAGAAAAAAAGAACACTACCAGAGAGTAGTATTTTTCTCCTCATGATTTTTCCATTAAAAAATTAACTGGTGACCTATATTAATTCCATAAAGTAAGCAGAGTAAGGGCCACACTAAAGACTAATTGTAAACAAAATGAAAGAGAAGAAAATGTTGATTAAGTTGCACATTTTATGAACCCAACCACCATTAATTTGATTAGTTTTTGTACTTTATAACCACAATAGTTTCCTGAAACAATAAACTGTAATTCTTTACAATAAACTTTGATAAATACAAATTTTCCTATTTTGTCTTTAAACAACTTCTCAGTGTCTGACTACACATTCAAAGAGAATCAGTAGGTTTTCAATAAACTGCATTTGTTTAAGCACATTAATAAACTGGTAAGAAAACTAATACAATAATATATTCTTTTATGAGAAAAACTTACTTTCTATTCATTTTACATTTTCACTATTATAACTACACATCTGTTCCTATTCTGGATATTCACATTTTACCAGTTTTTGTCATTTATAACAACCAACATTTTAAATTTAAGCTCAAACATATATCAACCAATATCAAATAAGTGAAACTTTGGAAATTTTCAAAAATGACTTTGAAATCATCAGTCATAGTTTTTTTTCTGTATATTAAGTGCTATCATTTTTTATGCAGAAGTATGGGTTGAAAATAATGATTTCCCTGGCTATTTTTATACTAAACTTTGTTTAAAGTCATTTCTAATGTTCTGTTATTTTTTCTTTATGCAGTATCACAGTGACATCAGCAGTGATGTGTATGATGATATGTACAATCATTTTTCTCAAGGAGATAGCAATTGTAATAGCATTGACCAGTCAAAAAGTCCTCAAATCATGCAAGTAAAGCATCTTGGTAAGTGAAAAATAATTCAAAAGTTACAATTTAAAATGATAACCAATTATTTATTTTCAACAAGAAAATATGAAGATATTTAATGTCAATTTTATGTATGAAGATATTTAATGTCAATTTTATGTATGAAGATATTTAATGTCAATTTTATGTATGGATGATGAACTGGCATACATGCGTAATTGCAGAATTGGTGGAGGTTAGGTTTTGATTTTAAAAATACATGATAAATGATGTACATTTGAAAATAGTAATTTTGTTACCTCTTCAAGTATATCAAGATTACAACTTTATCTTTTGACCTAGCCAACATTATTTGAGATTGGATCCTAAAGAAAATATTTTTCTTATTGAAAGTTTTCATATATTTGGTTTTGCATACATGAAAATTTGAAACTCTGGACACTACTGATGATGAACCTTATAAAAAAGACAATTTTATATCCTCATACAGTAAAATCCATTTAGCATGCATAGTGTTTATGGGAAGGAGGTTAATTGTTTTTTTTGAAAATTCTCATAGTATTTTACTTTTGTGTAAAATTGCTATTAACTATGGTTGTGTGACGTAAGGGACAGAATTGATGATGATGATTGATGATGATGATTCATTGATTGATTGATTGATTCTGGTGAGAGAGAGATTGACCCAAGTGATAGTGGTCAAATTTGATAATGATTTTTGTAGGAAGATTAAGTGTGAATTTTTTGTGAGCAATTTATTTTCTCATCATTATAGGTATATCTCAGTCCATATTACAAAAAGCAAGAGAGTTTAATATTGACATTTGTTGATTGCAAACAGCTCAAGAGGGGGTTAGGTAATCTAGATAATCAACATAGATAGCTTTGACTTCAACACAATTTAAAAGACCACATTATCTATTCTTTTCACTATGTTCCTCTTTCTTAGACTTGATTACTCTGTTGTTTTAAGATTTGAAGAGATCTAAACTTTCAAATAAACTAAATACTTTTCCATATAGCGTGTTTACTCCATTCAAACACTGTTAGGATCAAAACATTGTTTCTTCAGTTTCCAGAAGTTCCTCAATGAAACTGTAACTATCACAATATAATCTGCACTAACATCACAACACAGTATGACACACATTGAATATTATCCACAATTGTAGTAATTGTATTTATAAAATCATGAATAGATTTTCTTTTTTTTCTATATGAATATATTCTTAATATTTTCAGGATCAGACATCAGTCATCTTACAACCAGTTTATTAGATGTTGACACAGAAGAATCAGCAATAGAACATGTATCTTCCTCACACAAAAAGAAATCTGAACATATTTTGCCTTCTCCAAATGGAGTTTCACCAATTTATGATTCTTATGAGAAAGTAAACAATAATGCAAACAGCAGTCACAATATTTGTGATTCTTTAGATATGATTCCAAATACAAAAGAACATTCACAGCCATGTGATAATTTTTTGGTGATTAATAACTCTTCACACTATTTGCACAGTTCTAAACCTAAAAAGAAACGATGGCAACAATATTTGCATGAACATTCAACTCGAGACCAAGCAACTAATACAGACATTAGCAGCAATGGTAAGTTGGCTACTTATCCATTCAAATAACTTGCCTTTTGTATAAATATAAAAAAATCTTCAGTACTTTATGAAGCTATCCTAATGAATCTTGGACTTTAATGCTACTCTCTATATTGAATTTTTAAAAAGTAGAAAATGTGGAAATTATGATGTTTCCATTTACATGGTTTTTACTGTTTTAATGTTCTTAAAATTATGTCAACGTGTATAGACTTAGTTATACATATTAAGTTATGAGTTATGTATAGGGCATTTTAGTGTTTCAAACAATGAGTTATGTATAGCCCATTTTAGCGTTTCAAACAATTTCAAACATTGACTACCCTTCCTTTTATCATGCTTTTTTTTTTTTACTCTTATTCCGAACCTTTTTTGGATTTGAAAAATCATGTATTCAAGGTAAAATAATTCAAAGCAAAATAATGTTGAAAATGCAATTTATTTTAATGAGCATCAGTAAAATTTATTTGTTGTCTCTTATTTGAAAACATGACAGTTTGAGGATCTACCAAAAATACTGAGATATGGCCATGGTTTAGAAAAACAAAATGGGATCTGATTGATTAGAATTTGGAAATTAAGCCACTTATTTTTGTTTGATCAATTCGTGGTAAAAACATTGAATTACAGTTTCTACTTCAGAGAAAATAGTTGATATATATATATTGGATAATATTTTGTTTTATTTTGAATGAATACCAAGGAATGTTCAGAATATTTAAATCCAATGTAAAGGAGGTAAGTCAATATTTGGTATGTAAAAATCATTTGGATTGCTAAAAAATGGATTTAGCCCATATTTTTATTGTTATCAACAAATTCTTTGATTCCCTGTTTTGTTAAGTGTTAATGAATTGTTTACTCTTCCAAGCTTTGAAGTTTGCCTTTTTAGGTAATGAAATATCATATAATTGAACAATTAAAGTTTTGGTATCTCTTTTACACCTTTCTCATATTCACATTTTACTTTTTGGTCAAAAATGCTTTGTAAATATGACAACAATATACAAATGACAAATAACGAAAGCAAAAGTTTTTAAAAAATGGTTCATGTAATTTGTAAATGTACTGGGATTTTGGGACATTCATCCCTTTAGCTGGTGTAACCTTTTTATAGTTTATATGAGCACAGAAAATGTCAATTTGTATGATATTGAAAATTGTATGAAAAATGACAGTTTTTTCTTCATGAGTCATTTCTTTATATTCAAAGCTTGGAAAATAAAACAGGAATGAGTGGAATAGTTTATTTTACTTCAAATGTTCAATTGTCTTTTTCATATTTTTTTCTTTGGTGAAATGTTATCTTCAAGTTTTAAAGAACATCCACAAAGTTCATTGTTAGAAGAAGTTATTGCCTCTTGATGAACATCTTTGATGTTAATGTCCATAGTTTTGGAATTGATATGGTTTACTTTTTATGAACTTATTAAAAGCCATTTTCTTTGTCATTTATAATTAACTCTGATTGACAGTTTTTTAAACAAATTATATTTCTGTTTATTTCAGAAGGTACACTGGAGCTTTCCCCAATCAAGAAGCACCTTTCAAATACTGACAAAAATGAAATTCCACCTTCAAATTACAGTTTGTCATCAAACTCTAAACCAGTATGTAGCATAGACCCTACAATACTGGAAGAAAATGTATGTTAAAAAATGCATTGTTTATATGTGTGGTCATCACTCAAAGGAAAGTAAGCTCTTTGCTGTTAGAAGTTTGAGGTTAAGACGTATATTTTTATGACAGATTTTGTGGCACATTCTCTAGCCCAGTGGATGTTGTCTTAACAGTTGCAAACTGCAGTGTAGTCATCTGGACTACAAATAACCTCAGAGTATCTTTGAGGAGTCACTAAAATTATTTCTGTGCATTGAAATAAGTCATTGGAACTGATTTTGTTAAGAAGAAATGAAAAGAAAGCTCAGGAAAGATATTTGGACTAAAAATAGAATTACAAGGAATTCTTAGAATAAGTACAAAACTATTTTCATCTCCTGTTCTGATTTTTTAAAGACGAATGAAGCCAAGAAAATTATATAAAACAATTCTGACAGTAGTTTTTACTGTGATTTTGTTGAAAATTGTAATTATACTAAATTTATATGCAAACGGAGAGAATGAATGAATGAGAAGAAACTGAAAATTTGTGAAAGGTCACGGAATTATCTCCCTTTAGAAAACTGCTGATAACTGTTTTATAGATGGCTGAATTCCTAAATGTCACTCATTTAAATTACTTTTGGCCCCAGGATGTCAGTAAAACGGGTCTAACTTGATTAGGTGGATGGGGGCCAATAAACCTTTTCATTTTCTGCTGTGAAAAAGTTTCTGTTACTATGCATTTGCATTCCATTCTTTCCCCCAACACTTTACTCCTCACACATTTTTATACTAAACCCATCATAAGATATTTACTTCATTGGACCAGTGTAAAATACTTCTATTCTCTATCATTATTGATAGTTGTTAAATAGATTGAAAATCTTATTCTGATGCTCATTTCTCTTAACATGAAAAACTATCAAATATCAAAATAGTTTTATGTAAGGGGCATAAATAATTTTAAATACTCATTCTACAGGGTTTTCCTGAAGTTCTTTATAATTTTCTTCTATAAATATAAAACAATTCAAATGAAAGTTACATTTAGTCAAGTTACAGCATATTTAATTCTAGAAATAACTTTCAACGTTGAATTTCACCAAACATTTTGCAGTTGTTCTTGTATGGCTGATCCCATTTTTTTCTCCTAACAAAGATATTTTAGAGAGGAAAGATTTTTTTTTATTTGTTCAGGTTCTGTTTAATATTTATGTCTTATATAAAAGATAATCTATTAAAAATCACACAAGGGTTTTGCATCCTGTGTTCAAAAATCATTAAATTTTACAATAAGCTTTTATTGCTTTGTACTAGCATTCACTTTAATTATTTCAAGACTTTCTCTAAATACATTTTAGAATACAAAAAAAATATTTTTTTTAATATGTATGTATTGAATAGTGCATTGATACAGATATATTTATTTTTTAAATATTTATTTTGTCTGATGTTTAATAATTTTACATTGTTGCAGTTGTAAATATTGTTTGTGATATTTTGGGAATCAATAGAATTTTATAAAAAGATTAGCAAGGTTATTTACAGATAAAGAATTAATGTTCAATATTAGTAAATAATTGAGCATTGCTTTCAGGAAAAACATAATTTACAGATTACTATTTTCATAATTCAATTTGTACCGTCCTTACTTTATTGCTATATGATTTGGCTTGAATGTTGAATTGGTTCATTTTAGAAGAGTTTTCATTTATGCCATACATTCTTTAGTAAAAAAAAAAAAAAAAACACATTGTTTTGTAAATTTCCTGTTTTTTAATTTTTTACTATTCCATGTTGGGTAAAATTATGTTATTTGCAAGAATAAATTTATTATTTAAAAAACTTGACTAAAATAACCTCAACAAAAAACAAGTAAAATCATCACTTTTTTTAAAATTTTATTTTTTTGAGTCTGAAAATAGGCGCTTAATTGAAAAAAATATAGTCTATACTCAATTTTGTTTTTGTTTAAAAAATGTTTATTTTCTTCAATTTATATTTCATGTTTAATACTTTTTGTGTTAATTGTTATTTATTTCTCTTTAACAACTGAAATGAATTTTTTTTATTCAGATCCCCAAAGCTTAAAGACTGCAAATAGAGCAGATATTATATCTGTACTGAAACATAAAAAAGAAAGCTTTTTGAGACAAGCTGTTACTATGTTCTTTTCTTTGTTGCTTTTATCCTGTTTTGGAAATTGTACAATTTGGCCTTCCTCAAAAATTCTTCACTTCGATATGTTTTTCATATTCCTTGTCACGTCTGGTATTCATCAAAAGGAATATGAGTTCCAATAAATTCTTCCTCTTATACCCACTTTGCCCCTGCTTCTGTAACTGGGGACTGAACTTACTGTTTAGGGACAAAGCAAATTGAGAAGTGATGCTTACAAGTTCTAAAATTCTCTGTGACTAGAATGAAAATATCCGTGTGGATCACATAATGTTATTCTGTCTGAAATTCACAGATGTTTATTGACTATGATATGTGACATGTGAAGAAACAGCAATGACATGTGAAGAAGGAAGCCAGAGAGCAGCAAAAATTGGTTCTAAAAAAAACATCATATTATTATTATTATTATCATCCTCCTCCTCCTCCTCTTTTGCATAGTTTGTTTTCAACCAGAGATCTTATGAATGTTCTTTATCAAGTCGTACAATCTCGGAGAACACCTTTCATTGACTATTTGCAGTGTATATTTGCAACACATATTTCTGAAGTGACAGGGTATTTGAAGTGATGGGACTTTATTCTGATTTTCTTGATGTAGATCTAAGTTCAGTGGCATAGTGAACCCACCATATGTACCAATGATAATTGGCCTGAATATCCCACATTCATATACTCCTAAAAAACAAAATGAACTTTGTAATAGAAAGTATGAAACTCAGCTTTAAATTTTCTGTTTTCATAAATTTATTTGGAGAAAAACAACATTCTTAAATCCTGAATCGAAATAACTCTGGATTTAAGAATGAAGAATAGATAATTTTTTGTCTTTAAATAAACATATGAACAAATCTCAGTTTAGAGCACAATGTATGGTTTTATTTACAGTCTCTTTTCTTATTTCAAACACATACTTTATTTTAAATTACAACCTGAGACATTTTATTTTTGCTTTTATTTCAACTTTTCTAGTTCTATTTCTGGCAAAATTTATTTTTACATGATTTAAAGGATTTTTAAAGACTTATTTGCTTTATAAAATATCTCTTCTTATTTGGCATTGTTTTTTTGTGCTGTGAAATCCAACCAGATTTTATTTAATTCTGAGTGATCCCAATGCCAAATCAGTGGCCAAAAAGGTTCTGTGAAATAAAAAGCATATTCTTTCAATCTCACTCTATCTTTCATGAAATGAAATATTTTTCAGCTATATCTGTACAAACAAATCCTGAGAAAAACAAATATATTTATTTAAATCCCAATAAAACAAAATATTTCCAAGACATCCCATGTTATGAAAAAATATTAGTATGACAGTCATTTTTTTTCTAAATAACTCATAAAATTTTATATATTTGCAGTATCTTTTCTTGTTAATATAGTCATATAAAATATTAATGTTCTTTGTTGGTAGCTTATATAATTTTGTAATTCAACTACTTTGAAAGCCTGATTTTTTACTGTTCTAAACATGTCTCCCTTTGTACATTACCCTTTAGATTGTTTTTTTTTAAATTGTTAAAATTTCCACAGCAATATTAGTCATCAATTAAGAAGTAAAAAAAAAATTATTTATGCAAATTGCAAAGGCTAAGAACAATTTATAAAATTTCAATATTTTTTTTATCTCTCACTTAGTCTGCCTTTCAACATTTTGTTGCAGTAAATGGATGAAATTACAGACAAAAAGAAAATCTCTTTATTTAATAGCAAAAACAATAAAAAATTATTTCCTATTGTATTTTGATGCAGTTTATTTTTAAATATTTTGTATAGTTTTAAAGTAAGGCATAAAACGTCTGTAGTAGCTTCCACAACTATTCTATTCAAATTTAGTCACAACTTGTTTAATCTGATAGGTTTGATTGGTTTCTTTGCCACAATTTCACAGTCTTTCAATCTTTGTTTTCTTTTCATTTTTCTATTTGTTTTTTTTTTCTGAAGAAATTCTAAATTTGATTTTTATTCAACTTCATAAATTTATTTTTCTTTATATAATTTGATATTGTTCTTAACTTATTTTACTCTTTGTATTTTTTGAGAAATTCTTTTTCAACTATTATATTTTTCTGAAATGATCAACCTTCTACCTTTAAAACTTTGCTTCAACTTTATATACAAATATTGAAGAAAAAAAAGAAGCTTCTTCCATTTAGAGAATCAACTTCACATCAAAACTAAATGTTTCTGCAAGATTTTCAATGTTTACAACTTCTTTTCTTTGGTCCATATATACCTTTAGGATGTGGGGACATCATGGCATGACTTCCTATCTTTTGTAGGTTTTAGTAATCTTTGTCTTTTCACCATCATTCCCTGTTCAGATTGTCCAGCATTCACTGCCTCATAGAAAGACTGATATTACATAACAGTTTCACACTCTTTTCTTTGTTTCTAATGAAATTTTCCTGTTTCTTAATACTTTGCTTAGATTTGAAAGCATCTTTCTCTATTCCAATGCACCTTCAGATTTTGGTGCCACATTTTCTGTCCTCTGTTAAAACATTTCCCAGATATTTAAAATTTCTTACTTGCTTGATTTTGGAATATCCAATTCATAGTTCACATCTTCAGCTGTTTCTTTTGTTGACATCCATACACATTCTGTCTTCTTACAATTGATGTTTAGTCCTTTCTCACTTTTTACTACCTTCTCTAGGGGAATTTCTATTCTGTGTTTGCTATCAAGACTGTGTCATCTGCATATCTTCTAAAGATTGTGGCCGCTAACAATGAATCCTGCTCCAAGTATAAATTTTGGATTATTCTAATATCCTTTCTAAATAAGTAAAAGTTTCCTAGCAATTTAAACAGTTATACCTTATCAAACATTTTAAAACTTACTGAATTTAAATGAGTCAATAACGTTTTCCAT